TGGTAACTCAGCATGAACCCGGTAAGGTTGCCAAAGTTGTGGTTATACGTAGCATTCTGGAACTGGTAGAACGACTGGTAGAGATGTGATTTGAAGAGGTTGAGCTTCTGGTACTGGTCATCTGTGGTTACCGGAGCAGACGGTGGTCCTTGCAGCACAAAAGTGAAGAATATCACCAGAAATATAAAGTTGTAACGACTCATACCACCGGTGTGTGTACAGCTCCTACCGCGGTGTTGTTTGTTGTTGTTGATGTTGATACCCACGCTGCTGCTTTGTGTGCGAGAAGTAGCTCCCGTAGTAAACAACCTGGAGGGCGAAAGCACACCCGGACACCCAGGCCCTTGCGACCATTATGCCATAATAATATAAGTATAATATAATTTCTGTTATTTAACCGTGGAGTTCTGCCAAATGGCGAAACGCATCGGAATTGCTCGCCTTTTCCGGCCAGGTGCTCCCCCACAAAAAAAACCATGGTGGGGCTCTTTGGTGGGGCAGCCAGAAAACAAAACTTGGCGATGTTCTCATGGAAGAAAGTGGCCTTATCCCGGGGTATGGCGTGTACATTTGCTCATTCTGAGCTACAATTCGTTAACAAGAGCAACAAGAAGTGGGAGAAAGGAGCACGTTGATTGTTCTTTAGCGTTATCTTTGATGCATATTGCCTTGTGACTTGTGAAGGAAAACAAATTCACTGTCAGGGGAAAGCGGTGGTGGTGATGATGGCCCGGTGCTTCAGCCTTTTTACTTCCCAGTGGGTTTGATCTGTTTAGCCGTTTCGTTACGTGCTCAGATGACCCCTCCTCTTCGCTGCCACGGGGGGCTTCGAGAAATATCCTCCTCCAGTGGAATATCAGGCACTGCGAGGGGGTTGTTCATCACCTCGGAGTCCTGAACAGGTCAGGCTGAAGTTGGCAGCAAACTCAAAAGCGCGAGCCTGATCAGCAGATTCGCACGAGGGAGGACTGCCCTGGTGTACAGTTGGTTCAACTCAGTACTCCAGTCAAATGTTGTTGAAGCAAGCAGCTTGGTAATGGTGGTGGTGTCTCTAGTTTTCATGTAAATCCCTAGCATGGTGATGCTGTGTTGTCTCGATGCGAGGAAGTGAGTATGGGTATTTTTAACTAGTTGGTCCCATCACCCTTTTCTCTGCATCGCACTCCGAACTAATTAGTAGAAAGCCAACAAAAAAATTGTGATTTGTGTCCGTGTGCTCCTCCAGTTGCGTCTTTCTCTCCATCGAGTTCTACGTGGTTGTTGTACGGAGGAGAATCTGCCTGATGACGGTTGTCTAGACTCAGTACGAAAGTTATCCTTGGTTGCATATCACAACGTGCTAGATCACCCATTTTTACTACGCATGTATACGGAGAGAAAAGGAAAGTGTATTCATATATGACTTCTCGGTGTATAAATAGTGACCTATGTTCCTTCCTTGGTGAAGTTTCCAAAGTCTGGATTATGAGGTTAGAATTATCCATCAGGCTGTTTAAACCAACATAATAAAGAGCCTTGAAAACACAACAATCTAATATTCAAAATGTCGACCTCTTCTCTCCCGGAGGACTTGGAAAAAGGCTACGCTACTCAGTCACTACACGAAATGAACACAGCCGTTACAAATGATCCATCTCAGCCAGTCGTGATGAGAGTTGTCACTTCATCTAACGGTGATATCATCCATCTGGGGAACCAGGCTTTCAGCAAGAAAGATTTGTTCAACGCATTCGCTGGTGACCTTCAACCGGGTCTTCATGCCACTCCACATAGGCCAATGGGTAACCCTGTCCCAATGGGGTTGACATCCTTTTGTATCTGTTGCTTTGTCGTTTCCCTAGTCAATGCTCAGGCAAGAGG